ATTGACATATGAGGGATCCTAAGTCATTTGAATAACTTTCAGTAGGAAAGTGAAATGAAGGGAGCCTTAACAAATAAGTGGTCAGTGAAACAGAATTTTTATCTTCTCTTGATATTAATCTTAGCCTGGTTGTGGATGAATTCTACACCAAATGTTAACACATTTTTTCACTAATTGTCTTAGTTACTTTTCTCATGGCTGAGACAAAGTTCCCAACATGCGAAGTTAAAGGAAGAAAGGTTACTGTAGCCCACAATTTGTAGAGGTTTGAATCCATAGTTGGCTGGCTCCCAGGCAGGGTGGCATGGCAAAGTGATACTGCAAAGGAGAAACAGTTTATGAATGGAAGAAGGCAGCAAAGGGGCAAAGTAGCAAGCAACAAGCAGAAACCATGGCAGCTCTTTTTTGATCCCTTATGTTTGATCCATGCTTCCCACCTTTAAGGTGTGTAACACTCACAACCAGAGTGGGGCAGCCTTAATCTTAGATTAGCACCGTGAATCAATCCCAGCATCACATCCTAATCACAGCATCATACAGTCTGAGTCCACTTATCTCAGAACAGTCCCATCTATGGTCACATGAAGCCTTTGGAGGGGCATTTAGATACAACCTATAACACTAATTATTTCAGAATCAATATTTTAAAAAACCAACTCTTGTACAAAAAATACATTGATGTACTATCCTTAATGCTATAAATGTGATCTTATTCAGAGATAGAATCTTTGAAGATGCAATCAAGATAAAATAAGGTCATACTAAATTAGGGTGGGTCCTAGAGTCCAATAAATGACTTTATTAAGAGAAACTCAGAAAGAAGATGATGTGAAGACAGACAGGAAGAATAGCATGCAGTGATAGAAAACAAGAGCTATGTTATGTGTCTACAAACCAAGGAAAGCTAAAGACACCACAAGCAAGAGAAAGGCATAGAGCATACTGTTCCATAGAACCCTCTATTTCAAATATCTATCTTCCAGACAATTAATGACTTTTGCTTTAAACCACCTGGTTGGTGATACTTTGCTGTGGAGGCTCGAGCAAATTAATATACAAGCTAAGCATGTGGAATGTGGCATTTGTGAATACTCTAAATGAATAATTACTTTAAGATTGTCTGAAATATCAAATACTGTGGAAAGACAAAGAATTCAGCAAGCAGCAGGGTAAGGATGAAGATGACCCAAAGATGTCAGGCTTTTGCATGTGACAGCAAGCTGAGATACAATGACATTAAAAAGCAGGAGAACATTGGTCATAACGGCTAGTTTGGGGTTCTTTGGGGCTGTGAGTCTTTATAAGTTGCAGTGAAAGACAACAATGTTCAAAAAGTTATTATTTTGGTCAATGAATACCAAAATTGCAATAGTCTTTTATGGAGTTTTGGTTAGTTGGTCAGCCTTACAATATAATATAGTTATTTATAGCATATTTTGAAAAATTAAAATAAAGAGTTGGGTAAGATGAAAGAGATTATCAACACCACAGGCAATATTAATAAATAACTAGAAAAATGTTTGGGTTTGTTAGTAAAAGTAAATCTTTGGGCTTATTTTGAAATATTAGTAGATAGATGATAGATGATAAATCTGTAAATACATAGAGTTCCAAACTTTAAAGCAGTATGCAGTTATATTGATGATGGTATTGCAAACATCTCAACAGCTCTACCTTACAAGTATATGTGAATCTGACCAGTTTCCATAAGTATCAAATCTACTACCAGGATCCAAACCTCTTCCATGTCTCACCGTATTACTGAATAAGCTTTTAACTCTTTTTATTTTCACTCCAAAAGAGCCAACGCAATAGCCTGTCATTGAGCTAACAAGTCAATATACATTATTTCTCTGATTCAAATCCTGCAGTAGTCCACCCTCATCTTCAGTGAAAAATGTCATGATCCTACAATTCTTCTAGACAGTGAAAGATATGGACCCAGCTACCTGTCTGATTTCTTGCCCTAATGTTCTACTCACAAGACTTCCTATGCTTCTTACAGCTCCACCACCCTGGGTATGCTCTTGCCCCATTCTAGACATCCCATAAGTTGTCCCTCTCTCTTTAAGTGTTTGCTTAAATCTTACCTTTCATCAAGGTCTCTCAGACCAAACTCCTGAAAGAAATACCATGGCACTCCTTGCCTTCTCCAATCCCTTCATTCCTTTACTTTTCCCCAATGTACTTATGTCCTCCAAATATACAACCTAACTGGCTTATTTAATGTGTTAATTGCTTATTTCTTTCCCAGTGGATATAAGGTTCATTAGGGCAATAATCCCCATCTGCTCTTACACCTAATCACTTAAAATACTGTTTGATGTCCCTCAATAAATATTCAATCCATAGCTGAAAAAGGATATTTATCTTAGCATTATTTGAACTACAAAGATACTGAAAATATCCTATCTGTTCAACATAAGAATGTCTACATGAATAATACTTTTCAATATAATATTAAACTGTTAATGATATTACCTGTATCTTCTGTATAAACGTTTACAATCAAATAATTTATGAAGACGGAAACAGTTATATTGCCTTTAAGGGCAACTATGTTGAATCGTCTATAAATCTATTTTTTATTTTTTATTTTATTTTACTTTTTTGGAACCAGGAATCAAACTCAGGACCTCAGGCCTGCCAGGCAGTCACTGTGCCACTAAGTTATATCCACACCCCTATAAATCTAGAATAAGAAAGAGTAAAAATGCTTTGTTAAGACAATGGGTATATGACATAAAAATTTCAGTTAGGTAATAAATTTTAATGTCTTTGAAGGAACAGTTCATGCTAATTGTTTGATCAATTTTGCATGCCTATATCTGGTAATCTGAGCAACTACTTTGAAGATAATAATGTGTAGCATACAATCACTGTTAATTTCCCATCATCTTGTTTTGAAATTCTATATTTTTAAATTATTTTTTATTCTTTTAAAAATAAAACAAAAAAGTACCAGAACATTGAGCTGTATTGAAATACTGTGGAAAAATCTATACTATGTTTGGAGCTAGTTTTATTCATTGTTTCTTTGCTATAATTGGATAATAAATGTCTCGCAAAGACCCAAGTAATAAAAGACTTGGTCTCCAGGGAATCATGATGGGAATGTGGTAGAATTTCTCACAGGTAAGATGTAGGGGGAGGCTTGGGGGTCATTGGGGCGTGGTCTTGAATGTGATTGTGGGGCTTTGTCCCTCTCTGCTCTTTTCTGCCTTCTGGCTTATGGAGAGGAGAGTGGTTGTACTCCACGACTCACCCCTGCCCTGAATCCCTGCCACATGAACAAAATGAAGCCAACTGATCGTGAATTTAAACTGCCAAAACTTTAAGCCAAAATAAATCTTTTCTCTTTATCAGTTGCTTACCTCAAGTATTACCTTATGATAATGGAAAACTGACCAACATACATTTAGTAGAATTTTAAAGCAATCTAACTTTATTTTCATGATTAAAACTAAAACTGTCAGTTATTTGGTGCAGAAAATTTCATTGATTTATTCAAGATGCAGTTACGGGTAGAAATTTTGCATCATAGGGTGATACATTAACTATTAGATGGTTTAAATTTAGTCTAAAAATTATGAACATATTGTTTCTCTGTTGGTTCTAAAGAGGGGAAGTGTCATTATATTGACTTCCTTATTCTCTAAATTTGTACTTAGAGAAATTTAAGACCTTAAATATTAAGACATACAACATGTAATCAAACCTGAATATCAATAAGAAAGCCTAGAACTTTAGAAGAAACTCTGTTTATGCAAAAACAAAATTTAAAAAAACAAAGTCTCTATTGGAGAAATGCTGATACATCCTCAGGAAAATTTATATCTATAGTTTAGGCAAAGTTATTTTGTGGTTTACCATCATTACTCTCCTATTCTCATCCTTCTCTAAATTTATGATACTCAGCATTTTCTATTAGTGGTGTTTTGGGGAGCCTAGTTTCATCCTTAGAGCAACACAGAAGGGTAGCAGAAAGCAACGTCAGGAGCCAGGAGGGACAGAAGAAGTGATGTTGTGGACACCTGCGGAAGGTGACTTTGAAAGGACAGGAGATAGAGAGATGCTGGGATTTGAAGTCTCATGGGTGGGAAAATTTAGTTTACATGTAGTTCCTTTCCTATCCAAAAGGTTGTGTCTTGCTCTGTTTTATAAAGAGAAAGCACATATGGCATTCAAGTTTTTTATATATGCACAAAATAAGACTAAGTAAATAGTATCAGTAAGTGAGGAAAAGAGTGAATAGAAAGGAAGAAAGGGAAGAAAATAGAAGCAAATATAAAGAAAGGGAAAAAAGGAAGAAATTCTATCCATGAATTGGAAAATGAGGAGAATAAGTGACCAGAATATTTGGAATTGAACCAATAAAAAGAATCAAGAAAAAAAGAAAAGAAATTGAACTTAGATGTGATATCTGAAGAGAACAAAATAGAAAGGGAACAAAATAAAAGCTCAATTGTTAGAAAGTGCCTAGTTTACCAAAGACATCTAGGTTTCTGAGCATTGTGCAGTGGTCACACAAGCAAGGGGAGGATACCTTCAGCCTGAAGGTTGGAAAGATAAGAAATAGAAAACATTGGTTTTAAAACACCCACTGGTTTTTATTCTCTTATCACATTTCATACTTGGAAAGAATCATGCCAAAAAGCTATTTCACTAATATTATATTTATACATTTCATTAAGAAACCTTAATTTTCTTTTGTTTGTTTGTTTTTGCTTTTCTTCTGGTACCAGGAATCGAACTCACGACCTCACACTTGCCAGGCAGGCACTTTGCTGCTGAACTAAATCCCCATCCCCAAACCTTAATTTTAATAGAATCATTATTCCCCATAAGGTTGAAATGGTTCCAGCACATTGGGTTTGCATTTCAGCAAAGTAAAGCCCAATATAAACACTGACATGGAACTACAGAACTCCCAGTTAGCCTCTCACTAGGAACTTTGCACCAGATCAGACCCAAACAAGGCAAACACCTACCTGTGGGTGTTCAGATAATTTCTTTACTTCACTTCCTCATTCATCCTCCCAAAGCCCACTGCTCACCCTGCTAACACACAGGTCTGCGAAGCTCTTCTTATTCTAGCACTGTGTGATGCAGGAATTGATCTTTGTTCAGATGGACTCTGCTAAATTTGATGTAACGAAAGTTTTTCTTTCAAAAGCACCTTAAAACCAAACACTACTTCATATTCCAAAAGCCAGATCAAATCCTAGGGAAAATGTGAAAGAATTAATAAGTTCTTTTATAAAAGGAATTCTTGTTGTTACATTAAAAACTAATTAATATTTAAAATGACACAGCCAAAAGTTGTTGCTCTTTCAAGGTTAAAAGACTTGTCTCAAAAGCATTCTGGAGATTGGTTGCCCACCATTATGGATCTATTTCACAGCTAAGTTGTTCTTTAAAATGTCTAAGATGGTAAATTTTATGTTGTATATACTTTACTACAATAATTTTAAAACATAAAATCTTATCTGAGATCACACAGTGAGATGAGATTATAATAGTTCAGGGGGCAGCACTTGATTAAATTATTACAAATCTGATATGAATTTAAGTTGCAAAACCTTAGAACCTATCCTAAAGAAACAATTTTATATTTGTAAATACCTTAAAATTAGGCAAGGTGGGGAATTGTGAATGTAATAGATAGTTGTCTAAGAGATCAAATTCTCAAAATAAAGCCTGTACCATTAACTTCTAGCAGTTGGATAAATAAATGGTTATCAACCTTAAAATTCTTGATTTTTGCTATTTATCTCGGAGATCCAAATGCCGAAAATGCATGCATACATTTTTTGTAACATGCCACCTGTCTGCAAATCTTTGCATTTCTTCTTTGCTGTACCATCCTTATGTCCCCTGCTTCTCTTATAGAAGACTCAGGTAAGAAGATAAATATCTTTTTTTTTTTTTTCTTTGTTTTCTTTTACCATCAGTTTGTTGAATTTCAGTTTCACTTCACTATCAACTAAGGAAACATCACCACTCATATACTTATGTTGGTAAAATGCCTCAAAGGTGAGCTAAACTTCAGGACAAACCAGTATATTTTGGGTGGTGAAGAAATATGAAAATTCTCACAGAGATCCTCTAAGAAAATGCTGGTCTTTCTGTTACATGAAAGGGCATGAAAATGTTAAACACAAGCAAGACAGACTATTACAGTGTGAAGGAAGGATGTTTGACAGAAATAGAAAGAAAACAGCAAGTGACAGGCTTGTCTCCCCGTGTCTCAGGGACCCTTGCCCTGAAAAGTCCAAAGAATCCCAATAAGTGCACCTTCATAGCATCAGACAGAGGCGGGAGCACCACACCTCCTCCTCGTGTGAATCCCTAAGGAACAGATGATACCTTTACTTTTGTTGACTTTTAGATGATGGAAGCGTGTAAATTATGAATATTTTAATTATCTCTTTAGACTTGTCTCTCCCAGCAGTTTAAGAAATATGCAACCATGAGTCTCACATTTATGTGTGAATGAGGTGACGAACGTAAGTAAAGGGAGGAAAATACAGGGAGTCTCTGTAAAAGCTGTTTATTTTAGTACCTCTGGAGGTGGAGCATACCTATTGTGAACCTGTGAGTGAAAAATACTCTAAAGGAAGAAAGTCTACAGTCCCCAGATGTATTGGTTGGTTGAAGAAACCTGAGCTATCATAATTTTAACATGAAAATTCCTGAATTTCAAAAGTTGGCAATTAATTCAAGTTTTCTCACTTACTCTTAAGGCCAAGCCCCAAGTACCCCTAGGCTATATTCAGATGGCAGGTCATCACTCTCTGACCACAGCTTTGTGGACCGGTGAAAGAGAACAAGGCAGAGGGCTGGGAGAGAGACTAAGAAAGAGAGAGAGAAAAAGAGATTAGAGAGAGAGAGAGAGAGAAAGAGAGAGGGGAAAAACAAAGTTTTAAAATGGCTGTTAAATACAGTGGAAATTTTGAGGGTAGAGATCCTTATAGAGAAGTTTTAGGAATGTTTTTAGAAATGTTTTCTGTATGATGTGGTATAACTCTATATGTAAATTAAAACACTGTCAGTGCTTTTAAAATTGGATTTGTCTATTTTGTAAGTCAAAAAACCACTCATGGTTTTATTTTGATCTTTGATATTTTAAGAGAATGGTAAGCACACAAATATGCAACCATTTTGTGAAGAGGATGCAACTGCTTAAAACTAGGTTATATTTTATTATTTGCAAATTTTCATACAAACCTTAAATAAGCTGGTTTACAAAATTAAATGAAATGAACCATTATTTTCCTTAACCTATAACAGTATAGCTGCTATACTTAAGTAATTATAGTATA